TAAAATGATATCAAGGTAGAAAATGTTGCATCACGGCAGTAATGATATCAAGGTAGAAAATGTTGCATCACGGCAGTAATGATATCAAGGTAGAAAATGTTGCATCACGGCAGTAAAAAGATATCACAATGTTGCGAGATAAGTTGTGCGAAAATGTTGCCCGTCTGCATACTTGTACTTATTTTAAACGTTGTTAAGGTTTTTGTCGTTGATCGTTTTTCGCCTGTTTTTGATAATATTTGTATCGAGAGAACATGGTTTAGGCCAAAAAGTCATTTAATTTAGAGAAGTGGGGTATGAATTAAGATGTTGAGGGGGGGAGGTTTGAACTCTTGCCTGCGTGCAGACGTCCGAACAAAGGAAATAGGAGACGTCTGCACGCAGGCGATGTGTGCTCAGGAGCGTGCAAAAATCGGTACGACTGTTGTCAGAGGTCTGGCACGAGTCCCGGCCGGGTGCGCCTGACTAAAATTCACTCTGTGTGACTAAATTTCTTTTCTCTTTGCATGCTATCGTGGCGGTTTCTCCGGGTTGTTGGGAGAGCGCCCTCTATACTTTTCGTTGCACGGAACAACCGTTCTTTAGTTGCCAAGGCTTTTTTGACGAGATCATTAGCAATGTCCTCGGAAAATGGAGGCGCACCGACCGACGAAAAAGCCGCTCCTTTAGGGTAAGACGCGAAGTTGGTTTCTCTTGCATCATGTTTTAATATTAATTGATCGATCATTTATTCCATTGATTGTTCATTTTTTGGGTTTCAGTCCGGATGGAAAGCCATTGTCTAAAAATGCTTTGAAAAAACTTGAGAAAGAGAAAGAAAAAGAGAGGAAAAAGGCCGAAAGGGAGGCGAAGCAGGTTGGAAAAATTCTTAATAGTATGACCTTAATAATTTTGCTATTATCGGTTTAGCACGCGGGGATTGTAAAGTTTGCCCAAAAATAGGATTAAATATCGAAAGTGGAACAGTCTTTGTGATAAGCGAAAGGTGGGTAAATACATTCAGTATTTATTTGATAAAATTTCGTCTTTGCTTCCACTGAGTTTTTTTAAAAAGTTGCTAACAATTGAAACCAATACTCAGCGAATGGGCGATCAGTATGGATTCTTTTGTTTGAATTTTTGTCAAGGAATTTTTTAAATATCTTGTCATTTTTTTGGAATACAGTTCCATGGTTGGTCACATAATGCTCTGACAGATTATGTTTTTATATAAAATGAGTGTTATGCTTTTTGGCCTCACCCATGAAACCTAGGTTGCTCAAAATTATGCTTGCCTGGAGGAATTATGCTTCTAATATTGTGTGGAATTAAAATGAAGCAGACAGTCTGACTTTACAGAGAGGTGGGTGGGGATGAACCAAAAAGAAATGGTTTTCTAGAAATATATTAATGACTGGTTTTGTTTTGTGTCTAGGCTGAGGAGGCTGGCGCAAAAGATGCAGAGGTAAGATCTTTACTCCGTGGGAGGGGATGCTCCTGGAAAATTCCGATGGGGTGTGCGGCTTCCTGGAACTCGTACCCTACATACATGTATTAGACCAAAATACATGAAGATGATGTTCCCTTTTCTGTAACAGAGCTGAACCACTCTTCTTGTTAAAAGATACCCAGCAAAAAAAATATTTCATTTATATATCCAATTCCAGCCCTGTTTCCAGGGAAAACAATGCTTTTGTTTGTCATTCTAAGAAAATTTCACTATTGTTTTGAAAAGTTTAAGATTTGTGGGTTAACTAAATCAAAAAAAATTCCCACACCTTTCAGAGTCGTCTGCATAATTACGTACTTGGCCTGTAGATGTTAGTTATAATAAGGTGCAATTCTCACAGAAAAAGTCCATCCTTTGGGCAACAGGACATTACACCCTAGGAACACACTTAACAGACTCAAAGAAAAAGTGATACATGGTTGTGTACCCGCTTGTATCAGGTTCTGGTGACCGATTAGAAGATTGCGCAGGCCAATAATCGGCAACAGCAATTATTGTTATTAAGTCAGTAGATCATAAAGCAACTCAGGGGAGTGATGATGACCCATGTTTGACACATAAGGGAGCTTTTGCAATGATGGCAGCAAAGGCAATGAGGATGTCAAAAAAACATTACAAATTAATGTAGGTTTAACAAGCAAATCAACAAACTCTGCACTGCAGCACACTTTCTTGTTCATTTCATTTCATTTGCTGTCAATGCATGACTACAATGTGAAATTCCCTCACAGTACATTATTTTTATGGAGGACTTAAACACTACACAATAAAATTTTTCTCTCTTTCTTAACTTAGCTTTGGTACCCAAGAATTCAATTCCAGGGAAATTAACTTGCATTTGACATTTCAAGGCACTTGAAATAATCACAAAAACTTTGAAAAAATGGGAAACGTTTTTATAGTGATGTATTTGCTGCTATCGCTGTCATCATTGCTTAGGCTTTCTATTAATTCTCATGCTCAGGAGGGGATGGTATAGGTATAAGTATTGTAATCCCTGATGTTGTGCAACCACTGCAATGANCTGTCAATGCATGACTACAATGTGAAATTCCCTCACAGTACATTATTTTTATGGAGGACTTAAACACTACACAATAAAATTTTTCTCTCTTTCTTAACTTAGCTTTGGTACCCAAGAATTCAATTCCAGGGAAATTAACTTGCATTTGACATTTCAAGGCACTTGAAATAATCACAAAAACTTTGAAAAAATGGGAAACGTTTTTATAGTGATGTATTTGCTGCTATCGCTGTCATCATTGCTTAGGCTTTCTATTAATTCTCATGCTCAGGAGGGGATGGTATAGGTATAAGTATTGTAATCCCTGATGTTGTGCAACCACTGCAATGACATTTAATTTTTTTCTGTTAGTGGATGAAGTCCCATTTTATTACTATAATTATGATCTTTTGGTCACACTAATGTGCCCACCTTTTTTGTTGTTGAGATAATGAAGCCCTCCATACCCTGAACATGCAAGGAATCACATTTTTATGACATACTGGTGACAAATTTTAACAATTTTTTCATCCAAATCAACAGGACTATTCAAAAGATCGTTATGCCATTCTTCCAATGGCACAGTCTCAGGAGAAAACTTGTAAGTTTATTTTAGTAATAATGTTGACATAATCTTCTTTATTATTACTTAAAAAGTCAAATACACCTTGTTTGTCCTTCTGTACACAGTATATGTAGATCAATCAAGTCTTTCTAACCTGAACACTGTGTGACTGGCACTAAATTGTAACAGAGGAGCTCTTTCTGCGCACAAAAAACTTGCAGTGGAGAACCATGGGTAATAAAATTTGGTTATCTATACATACAAGACATTTTGGTTGTGACAGAATCATCTGTCTATACATCCATCCCTTCATGTTAGCCGATGTAAAAAGTGACACCTGCTAGCTTGGAGTTCAGGGCATATACAATCTGTGTTTAGCTTGAGATGGTGAAAGCTGAATTACTTCAAAAGGACTGTTCTTTAAGGATCCTACAAGGGCTTTGCTTTTATAGCTGGCAAAATCTATATAATTATTATCCGTCTTAGAATAGAGAGATGTTCTTACCAATGTAGTTGTTAATATAGGTTTTTGGACTATGCAAGGAATTCATAGTTAAGGAATTTGTGTAGCCTCGTACACACCCAGCAGGTGTACACCTTGTGAAACGAAGTTTCAACACCCTTTTGGAAGTTGGGTGGCAAAATGACATGGACAATAATCACGTGTTAGCCATCACAGAACAAAAGATGTTTTCTGACGACCGCAAAGTCTGGTCACGCTAGAAATGTTGATTACGTGGATGACAAGTGAAATGAAATCCCGCATGCGAGCCACTGCCCCTCTGAGAAGTGGTTACCAGTCCCTTGTCCCAGTGCACAAATCAGCCTGATCTGCTTATCCCGGACAGAAGAACTGCGTCTAAAGGGCAAGGATCAGGGTTTGCAAATACGCCAAATTTGGCGTATTTTATGCCAAAATTGTTCAGATAACTCCACAGAGGTTACGGAGGGAGTTACTTCGACACCAGAAATTTTTGGTGACAAACAGGTAGCCACTTCGACTCCAGAAATTTTTGGTAACAAACACAGTTTTGTCCTTACCTTTTTCGCAACAAATACAATTTACATTATTGTAAATGTTGTAAACCTTAATTAAATCATGAAAATTAAAGAATTATACTGCACGACAAAGAAGGAAGAGGGTAAATTACGATCAAAGTTTACTCGATGACCACCGTCATGGATTTGAGCTTTCCAGGTCAGCGGACTCCCACAGCTACTTCGTGTATCCCTCACAATAGTGCGTACATGCCAGGACCACGTGCTGGAAAGTCTGAAAATGGCTTTTGTCGTTGTGATACTTGACTCCAAATATTCCAAAATGACTCCAAAATTTGTGAAGCAGAAGTCACAGTGACTCCACTCATCAATAAAATTTGCAAACCCTGGCAATGATGTTACCACAATGACAGCAAAGGTCCGAGGAGAAGACGAAGAAAGGACAACAAAGATATTTGTGTCCGTGTCAGGTCCTTAGATTATTTGATGAAAGAACCTGATCTGCTAAAAAGCCTTTACGGAGTTATCCTTTGATTTAGAGAAAATGAGGTAGCAGTGGCAGGGGACATTTCTAAGATGTACCATAGAGTCCTTATCCCTGAACAGGATCAGCAAGTTCACCGGTATTCAGAGAGAAATATGGAAACTGAAGGCGGGCCTGATGTATTTGTGCTTAAACTGTGCTTACATTCAGAGACAAACCTGCACCTGCCATGGTGCGACAACAGTTACAACGATTAGAAAGACCTACTGGATCCTTAGAGCTCAGAATTTAGCTAAGACCATAAAGTTCAGATGTGTACCCTGCTGAGAATTAGAAGCTAAGGTGGAAACACAATTTATGGCTGATCTACCAAAAACCCGTCTACAAACATTTATGCCTCTATTCTATTACACAGCATGTGACTATTTTGGCCCTTACATAGCAAAAATCAGTAGAAACAAGACCGCAAAGCATTATGGAGTCATCTCCACTTGCCTGAACACAAGAGCAGTGCAGCTATGATGTTGCGTGACAACAGTACGCAGTTAGTTGGCGCAGAATGTGAGCTACAAGATATGATCAAGGGATGGGATGTGAAGCAGCTAAAGGAACTCAGTGCAGAAAAGAGAATGAAATGGCAGTTTTCTACACTAGCAGCGCCACATCAGAATGGCTGCGCAGAATCTTTAATGAACAGTACCAAGATTGCCCTGAAAAGAGGAATAGGAGAGCAAGTACTAACACCCTTTGAATTGTACACCTGCTTACTGGATGAAACATTATCAGTTATACAATTGCGAGTATTCTTCGGTAGTGGATCGTCTTAGTTCTCCTGCAAAACAAGGTTGTCTGTTAAGAGAAAGATAGTATTGTTAGAGCTGCAAATATCAGTCAGTCATTGGACAATAGGGCCATTTATACGAGGAAAAATAAGACGCGTCTTAAATAAGACGCGAACTGTACCATTTATACGAGCATGTCTTATCTAATAAGACGCATCTTAGCTAAGCCGCGTCTTATTTTAGATGAAATGTGCCGTTTAAACGGAAAGTTCGCGTCTTATTTAAGACGCGTCTTATGTAAGACGCGTCTTATTTTTCCTCATATAAATGGCCCTAATGTCTCCCTGTAATATTATTGGCTCATGTCCGAAAAACAAAAATTTATTAACTGTGGACAAAGTTAATATCAAAGACTATCATTTTTCAGATGATTAAAGTCTTATCCACAGTGCTTGTAATTTTGAATTTTTTACGAAGGAAAAAAATTGTTGTGTTGAGTATATGGTGGTAATATTATTCTACTCATGTTTGCCTTGCCAATTTTTTGCTAAATACACATAATAATGCGCCCATGTTTTGGTTCAACCACCTTTTTGTTTTGTCCAACCAAAATGGTGACTAAGCTGGACATCTGTTCTTTCAAGAAACAAAATCACAGCTCTGGTACTTATGCTTCAGCACAATCTTTTTCCAAGAAGGCAAAGTTAATGATCAAATCTTCATGTGATCCACTTTGTGGGTAATCATCACAAAGAGTCAAGTCTTTCTTAACCCTTTAGGTCCTAAAAGTTACAAACATCAATTTTCTCCTTAAAATATCAATACACAATCAAGAGAAAAGACTAGGTTGTTAGACTTAATGAATTAAACACCTAAGAGAAAATGCTTTGATCTTCTATCAAATTCTCTCAACTTGTTCTTTATGGAAATTCATAGGGACCAGTTTCGAGAATTTGTATGCGGATATTGGGGCTTATAGGGTCAATGGACACCTCTGTGATGTGGAAGTCGTCCTAAAATGGATAACTAGGGTTTTGACCCTATTTAACCCTTTAGTTTGCCCCAAGTGACTCCATGATAACAGCCTGAAATGATAACTTGTGCCGTATGTTGTTTTTACAGCCAAAGTTTGGACCAAAGTTAAAGACTTGACATCAGAGGCTGTTGGTAAAAGGGTCTTGGTAAGAGCTCGGCTTCACACTACAAGAGGAACAGGTTTGTTTCTTATCTTAAGCTGGATTATTTCAATAATTCTTCCATATATTGTTTAGTTTCTGGTACTGTTTTGTGATAGGTAAGCAGTGTTTTATGATCTTGCGTGATCGCCAGTACACTGTCCAAGGAGTCTGTGCTGTCAATGATGTCATCAGTAAAGCAATGGTGAAGTTTGCCGCAGGGTAATGATGTTTATTTCTTTGCAAAAACATCAAAACCAAGATTTTATTGAGCAAATAGTAATCACATATACTAAAGATGATCGAGCTGCAAGGAGCATAACTTCTCTCTGTTGTATTTTGGAAGTTTTACATTCAAACCTGTATTGAGCTTCCACCTTGGCTGAAAGGAACTGTAACAACCTTAGAGACCTCAAACGCAAACATCATTAGATGCATGTAGAGTTATAATAATCTTACTCAAGTAAAACCACTTTAAACAATGCTTATTTTCCTTGAATTCATGTTGCTGACAGCAGACAGCAGAACAATTCCACAATTTTTTGTCTCTTTGCCATACAAACAATCCCAGGTTGGAGTCCCAGCTCATATGTTTTTTCCCTTGGTCATCTTAAAGAGTGGCTTTGGGGGTGTACTGACAACTTTTCATCTCTCTCTGAATAGATAAATTTATGACATATAGATGTACATTAATTTATGTGGTAGTTAAGTGTTAAAGACAAAGTACACTATAGTTCTTTTACACATAACTCTGGGTTACTTGGCTCGATGATGCTCAAATTGTTGTTTTTTTTTTTTTCTTTTAATTTAATTTCATTGGATCATGATTTACATTTTTTTGGCAATATTCTGCAAAAAATAAAGCAGTAGCCACATACATGTACATAGACTGCCTTTTATTTTCAAAATGGGATCGATGATTTTGTCTTACGCAACACTGTAACTTCTGTACATATTGTGCTACAGTAATAAAAGGTGCTCTCCTAACCTCTTGGCTTAATTTTTTTTGACAGGATAAACAGGGAATCCATTATCGATGTTGAGGGAGAAGTTAAATCTGTAGATCAGAAAGTGCAGAGTTGTTCTCAAGAAGATGTGGAAATCTCTGTTGATAAGGTATATACGCACTGTTCAAGAAAATAATATTCAGTTTTTTCATCATTTCTATTAATAACAATAAAACGTTGACAAATAATAATTTATGGGAAAATTGTGGGTGTGGCATGTCTGTTAGAACATCTAAAACAATCTGTCTGTGTTCATAAATAAAATTTATTTATTTAATAAATTACTTCTTGAAGACAAAATAATACAGATGGATCCCAATTTATCAAAAAGAAACAGGAAAAATTCTTCGCTTCTGATGTCGGGATATGGAGTATTATTTTTTGCCTTGACAGAGTAAATTCTTTGTGTACTTTAGTATTGGTTTTCTACGTAAACAAAAATTTTCTATGTTGAGCTTATTTCTTGTTGTTTCTCAGTAGTTTTTGTTGTGATGGATATTTCCTTCTACCCTTATGTCAGATTAATACCAACAAAAAAATTGTTTTATTTCTGCCCTCTATGAACTTATGCTGTCATGAATGAATGACTTCAGCTAATTGCTGCAAATGTTGGGCAAAAACTATTTTCCCAAAAAATTGAGCTTCTCAAATTAAGCTTGAAGGTGCCTTTTCTGCCCAGTTTTTGTAGTTTTAGGCCTGTTCAGTTAACAGAAAACCATTTTGTGTCTTTCATTACCGATGATTTTATCATATTTTCCTAGATTTTTGTGGTGAGCTTGGCAGAGCCTAGACTACCTCTTCAGATAGAAGATGCATCACGCCCTGAAACTGATGATGTAAGGACTAAATCTACTACATGAGATGCCCTGAACATTGTGTATCATTTGTGTTCAAATATTATCCTTGGCGTATGTTGAAGATCAGTTTTGTCCCTGGTTTAAGTTTTATTTCCCCTTGTTTCAAACTCAAACTCAAACTTTGGAGGGGCTTATCTACGGAGGGAAATTTGCGTTTCAAAATCGATTGGGCTAACCTTATAGATGGAAGTAAATTTACCGTTTTTGCTTTGTTTTACTTTGTATTTGAGGGCAATTTTCCAAGTACAACCCCCGGGGGGCTTATATTTGGAGGGACGATTTAACGGAGGGTTTTTTGCATTACCGGTTTGGGGGGCTTATATTTGGAAGGGCTTATATATGTAGGGGCTTATTTTCGGAATTTTACGGTACCTCAGAACAAAAGAAAATAGAATTTAAACCAAGGATGAAAGTAAACCACAACATTACATATATTTTCCTATGGTTTGTTTATGGTAATGTATGAAAATGCAGCTGAAAGAAAGAAAATTATATTAAACCAAGGATAAAACAGAACCGCAAGATACACATCAACTGAAAATGGCCTTTACATTACATTATTGGGAGATTCAATTTTTTCTGCTTGTTGTTGTTTTTTTGAGGTTCAATATACTTGGTTATTTAATACTCTTTACATGTTAAGGTTTGTGGAGGTGTGTGTGGCCAAGTGGTTAACACCTCAAACTCCGGATCTAGAGGTCTGGGGTTCAAGCCTTGCCCGTTGTGTTGTTTCCTTAGACAAGGAACTATACTCCACTTTGTCTCTCTTCACCCAGGTGTGTAAATGTGTACCGGCAACATACTGCTGGGGGGTAACCCTGTGATGGACTAGCATCCCATCCAGGGGGGAGTAGCAATACTCCTAGGCATGCTTCATGCTTAGGAAACCAGGATAAGCTTCAGCCATTTAAGCCTTTGGCTCGTGTGTGACTTTACCATTTACTTTGCATGTTAAGATTATTCTGTGTCTGTCAAATCTGCGGCCATCTCTCTATGACTGAATGGTAGGGATGCAACTCTTGGTACCCATTTCATTTAGGTGTACAACCACCATATTAGTCTTCCATTACAAGAGAGCTGACTGTCTGTGTATTCTTGATTGTTTTTTAAATTTCTTGGGAGCAGAGTGGGTGCACGAGTCTTGAACTTGGATCTCTGGATTACTAGTCCATCACTCTGATTGGGCACTTGACCATGCTACCTTCCCTAAGCCAGGGTTACAGATGATATGGTGCTGATTTAACCTTAAAGCCCCAGGATCCACATACAAATTCTCCAGACTGATCTCCATACATTTTTTTAAGAATAGTTGGGAGAATTTGGTTTAAGATCAAAGCATTCCCCCTTTGTTAATCAGTTTAGTAATTCTCATAACCTTTACTCTTGATGATCTGCTGATGTTGTTAGGAGAAAATTGATGTTGGTTGCTCTTGGGACTTAAATGGTTAATTCCATGTCTTCTAATTCCAAAATATAGCCAATCAAACACTCCAATTTCATTTGTTATGGGGTAATTAAGCTAATCAAGTCAAGATCTCATTGTTTGAAATTTTAAGGGTCCGTTCCATTGGGATGATCTGGATCAGAATCAGTGATCTGAGATCACTCTGATCTGAGCAAATCAAAAGAACTGATTAATCCACCCTGGAAAAGGATACATTGGCTCATTTGATGTACCACAATCCAAGTCATCTCCTATCACTGATCCTGATCTGGATTTATCCTAAAGGAACTTCCTTAAATTTAAGTGAATATTTTTGGATCATTTCAGGAGCAAGCTCATGTTAACCAGGACACCCGTTTGGACAACAGAATTATTGACCTAAGGGTTTGTTGTTATTAATTTTGTGTACATCTTGCCATGTTTGTTGATTATTGACCATTCTATTATTATGTCCATTAGCATTTAGGAAAATTTATCATTTTTTTTTCTTTATGTTGCAGACTGTTCCTAACCAAGCTATTTTCAGCATTCAAGCTGGTGTCTGCAATTTATTCCGAGAATTCCTCACTTCTCAAGGATTTAATGAAATACACACTCCCAAGATAATTTCAGGTTTGATCTATTTGTAATTTATTCTGATTAAAATTATGCCAACTTTAACTATTCTCAAGGGTCGTGTCTATAATTAGGTGGAGAAACCAGGAGAAAAAATTGGCCTTTGTCAAGCCACCCCCTCCCATCCATCCCACCTTAAATGCCCTCTCTGAAGGAATCTTATGTTGAAGTGCTGTTGACCAGCAACTGAACTTAATTATCCCTTGGGTCCCCTCGCACCTCAGCCAAAAACAAGTCAGTAAATCTGTTTGGACATCTTTAATAAACAATCCAAGGACTTGAGAAAAGCCCCCAGGGTGGGAGGGAGGAAAAGAAAACAGCACCCCAAACGACTGAGCGATTATTAGTCAAATCCCATCTGGGGGAGGGGGTAAGTAAAAATAGTACTCGGTGTTTTGTAGAAGTCACCATGTGGGCTACGTTTCCTTGAAATAGCAACTGTATGTCCTGGTGCATATCCCAGGGGCTGCCATATACATGCCATACAGTAGATACCTGCTGCTGTGAATTGCAAATGAAGACTGTCAGTGAACTTGCAGAGTGTTTAGCACAGATTCCACCTAAAATAGCTTTGTACGGACTTCTTTTTAAATACAATTACGTGGGATGTTTTCTGCTTATTTGCTGTGAAGGGTGTGGTTTTCAAGCAAATATGTCTGGGATAGGGTATAAAAATCGTAGAGTTTGGGTCTAGAATAGGGTATCATTTTCCAGCAAACTGAAGAATTGGTTGAAAACTTTAGCTTAGACCAGGGAAACTGGGAATTAACATTCAAAAATATGAAATTTACCCGCAACTCAATTTGATAGCAAAGAAATTGTCAACCTCAGTAGTTTTTGGGAAATAGTGACTTTTGGTTAGGGTGGGATTTTGGGAGTTTAGTCTAGTATAGGAGCTTCAGCTGAACTAGCTCTGGCATAGGCTGAGGGGTCCGGGGTTCCAGCAGTACATCCTCCCCATAAAAATCGCTAAATTACCCCCCAATACATATGCATTCTTTGGCTATTTAATTAATGTAATGCTCAACTTGTTTTTTTTTGTTGTTGTTATTTTATTTTATAGCTGCCAGTGAAGGGGGCGCAAATGTATTTGAAGTTACTTATTTTAAAGGTACTATAAGCTCTCAGTCAACTTGACATATTAAAAAAATTGTGAAATATGTTTATTTTGTCATTTTGTAACATGTGGTAATGAAAAACAGTGTAACAGTGAAATGATGTTAATGAAGTTGTATTAGGAGTAAGTTTTTTGGGGGGTCAATATCTTTGTAGAGTAATGTGACTGTATTCTCTTTTTTTTTATTTCTCATCCCCTCACAGGCAAAGCTTACTTAGCTCAGTCTCCTCAACTATACAAGCAAATGGTCCTTTGTGCTGACTTTGACAGAGTCTTCACCATTGGCTCAGGTATAAAAACCATTTGACAAGCGACATTTTTGCCAGAAAGGTGGTCGTGATTACAATCATGGAAAAAACAATATTTCATTCGCAAAATGTTAAAAAAGGCAAAACTAGTGCAATAGCTTTGTGTACTTTTAGTCTTTGGTTGCTTTTTAAACGTCATAGATATGAATTACCTTGTTGCTTGAGGTAGTTTTTCTTCTAGTTTTTTAAGAGGGTATCGGTGGGACGGTAGCTTCATGGGTTGAAAGTTGACGCCGGCGGATTCGCGGTTATTAAGTAGAAATTTAGTCCAAGATTTTGAGTAAATATTTACTTCTGTATAAATTAATATTAACCGTTGTGTTTTGGAGGTTGACTTGGCCTTTCACCTTTAAAATTTCAAAATAGTTTCAGAAATAAGTGAGTTGTAATGTCTTGTAATGTCTAGATAGAGCGTTCTTGAGAACTTGAGAACTAGTGTTTCAGCTTAGAGACTCTAGAAGCCAAAAGTCCATAAAGATCAGCTGAAATAGTGAGATTTGTATACCTTGAAATTTTTCGACGGTTAATATTGATCTGCATTTTTTATGGTTGATGGTACAAAATTACCTTTCTCAATGGCTGACAGTTAAGCCCATTAAGACCCTCTCTTAATGATTTGTATTTTTTTTTTTTTTTTTTTTTTTTTTTGCTGTTTAAATTTAGTTTTCCGGGCTGAGGACAGCAACACTCACAGGCATTTAACAGAATTTATTGGTCTTGATATTGAGATGACTTTCAGTGAACATTATCATGAGGTAGGTAAAATAGTATTGAAAGATCTGTAAGTTTAAAGTGTGAAGCAACGGAAAGTACGGGCGAACTTCCCGAGAGCGACCACCAAAATGAAAAGGGTGGGAAGTTTAAGTAACAACAACAACAACGGCTACGAAAACGTCACTTAAAAAGTGAATTTGCGCTGCTTTAAACTTTATCTTGCGTATCCCATCTCGTTCAATTCGTCAAATGTTGGCAAATTTTTCTGGAGTTGAATTCTAAAGGACAGTATCAAAGTTCAGAAAAAGAAAACGAAAGGCGTTGTCTTGTGTTCGCGTCCTCTACAAAACGTGAAACTAGGCAGTTTCACGTCGTAGTCGTGCAATGACGGCAAAGAAAGTTACAAAAAAGCGTGATGCACGTGCGAAGTTGTTGTTTTGTCCAACCTAAACCTATTGCTTTTTTGCCGTTCTCGTTGCCGTCGCCGTCGTCGTTGTTTAAGCTCCCTAGTTAGTGGTCGCTTTCGGGAGGTGGTCGCTTACGAGAATCGAACTGCAAGTGACCTTTACGAGGAGAAGTGCGGACACATCAAATTTGGTGTCATCCATGTTGTGTCTAAAAGTTCTTTCCATACTCTGAGTAAATGTAGTAGATACAGCGATCTCAGAGATCAGACCATTGTATAAAATGGTCCCTTAGAAGAGGTTAAAAACAATGGAAAATTCTAAAACAGTCATCCTAAAAAGTGTTCGCGGTTGCTTACGAGAGGTAGTCGTTTACTAGGGGTTCCAACTGTAAGGTTTTGACTGGGAAACTATTTGGTGTTTAGGATAGGTGGTCAGTCATGAGAGGGGGTCGCTTTCGAGAGGTGGTCGCACGTGGAGATTTGACTGTATTACAATTACCTGTGAATGGAAGAATGGCCGGATCATTTTACGTTTCTGTGAAACTACCCACCTGCCCCTCCCCTAAGCTAACATTAACACTAACTTCTTACTTAGGGCAAAATGTTGGCTTAGGGGAGGGATAGGTGGGCAGTTTCACAGAAACGTAAAATGATCCAAGTGGCCCATACTGGATTACATTGTAGATGACTTTGATTTATGATTGTGGACACATTCCAAAGCCTTAACGAATCATACCTTTTATTTCATATTCCTATGCGCTTTTTGATGGTGCATTTTATTTGTGGCTTCTCACTTTCAACAAACAAGTGATTGTCTTTTTTTACCACAGGTGATTGATATGATAGGTCAAACATTTGTTCACATTTTCAAGGGATTGCGTGACAGGTAACGTTTCGTCAACTATTTTCTATTATTAGAGCCCGGGTATTAGAGTTCTCCTGTATTTCACAAAGTAAATGAGTTGGAATAATCACGATGAAGATTGAAAGAATGTGAATTCACTTTTTAAGCGACATTTTTGCTGCCGTCGCCGACCCTGTAACCTGCGAATACAGCCGTTTCTCCTCGCTCTTCGCCGCTAGGGACGTTTCGCCAGGAGGAACTTCTGCGCCTCAGCGACAGAAATTCCGTGCTGATGACGTAAAATCTGTCCGGAATCTTGTCAAGAGCTCTGATTGGTCGACGGAGTAGTTATGTTGTTTACGAATGACTGACAAAAGACAAAAGGCCACAAAGGTCAAATGTAAACGTGGTAAATCTACTACAAAACGGTCAATATTCCTGGAATATATTCTTCTTTAGAAAAAGCATCGCAGTAGAACACAAAACTTTAACAAAATCGATCAGGAGAAACATAAAATCAAACAAATTTACATTTGGAACCAAGAGACTATAAAGGGGACAGAGAGGGCATCCCTTATATACACCCTATTCCATAGGTAATTCGTCTCGAGTTATTTTTAGAATCGGGATAAAGTTACCTCGCGCGAGGCGTGGATGTTTCGTGGAGGTTTCGCATGACCAAACGCCGTGCAAAACATGTCGGGCGAGAGGCAATGAAAGCGTAAAAAGATCGAGAGCATTCCTGAATATTGAAGCGAAATGAGTCGGCGCTCACCTGGGAAAAAGGAATCGCTGGACTCTTTGA